TATTGAATTATTTATGACTAGATTTGAAGATTTCGGACACGAATTCACGAGGCAAAGGTTTATTGGATTCTTGAAATTTGGTTGCAAAGAGAGGTAAGTGTCGTGGTTAATCTTGACTTGAGGGAATAAAATCCTTGAATTATTTGCTATTTATATTTCATGTGTAACGATGTATAGGCAAGGTGACGGGTGCCTATACTTTGTCAAATTAATTATTTGCTTAATTATTTAAATATCTTAAATTATTTTAAGACACGAATTAATCGTTATAATAATTGTTTCACTCATATTCCTTGTCAAATAATTCTTGAATTCCTGCAATAATTATTACATGCTTATTTAACTTATGTGTCTTAATTGCTATTTGACATTTAACATATTAAATATTAAAGTGCTTATTTTCTCCCTGAATTCCACAAATAAATTGCTAATTATCGTTGTTTGTTTCATAAATAAATTATAATTATTGTGTGCCTTGATGTTTAATCTCATTGAACGTGGTATTTATTGGAGTAATGTTTATTACAATTATGAGTTGTTAAAATATATTGGGGGATCGGGTAGCACACCGCAATATACTTATTTAAAAGTCTATATTGGGGGATCGGGTTGCACGCCGCAACAGACTTATTTAAAAGTCTATATTGGGGGATCAGGTTGCACGCCGCGNAATATATTGGGGGATCGGGTAGCACACCGCAACAGACTTATTTAAAAGTCTATATTGGGGGATCAGGTTGCACGCGGCAACAAACTTATTTAAAAGTCTATATTGGGGGATCGGGTTGCACGTCGCAATATACTTATTTAAAAGTCTATATTGGGGGATCGGGTTGCACGCCGCAACAGACTTATTTAAAAGTCTATATTGGGGGATCAGGTTGCACGCCGCGACAGACTTATTTAAAAGTCTATATTGGGGGATGGGGTACGCCGCAATGAAAACAAGTTGAGGGATTGTGACTGCTAAATTGATTTCAATTATTAAAATTATTTACTGGTCTTACTACTATTCCTGTTATTATTATTATTATTATTATTATTATTATTATTATTATTATTATTATTATTATTATTATTATTATTCCCGTTATTATAATAATAATACCCCAGCAATCCCGCCAGTTGGGATAGTTCAGCTAGTTGTTGCGGCACAGACCGGTAATAGGCCCGCCATGTCTTCTGAGGCCTTATTGAGACTGGATAAGTTTACTAAGCTCTTTCCAATTCACTTCAGTGGTACACCTTCTGAGGACCCACATGATTATCTTGACCGTTGCCATGAGGTGCTGTGGAACATGGGTATAGTTGAGACCAATGGGATCGATTTTGCTGTATTTCAGAAGACGGGTTCCGCCAAGAGGTGGTGGAGAGATTATAGATTGACCAGACCATCTGGATTGCCTGCACTTACCTGGGAGGAGTTCTCGCAACAATGCAAATAATTATATAATCTATATTGTTATAGTATTATATTTATCTTCCTAAGTAAGTGGTATAATTATCCTCCTAGATAAGTGATACGATCATTCTTTTATAGCGATGGCTTATCCAATACCTGACTATAAATTGGAAAAGAATGGGCTACATAATCATTGAGCATTTCACAAATTACTCAATCTTAAATTCGTGCATTTGATATAAAATCCATGATTATCCTAACATATTGTTTGTCCTCTTTAGAGCCTAATCACATATGGTCATTTGTGTTTGTCCATATGTCTAAAAATTCTTACCAAAAGGCTTAGTAATTCTTTATAACTATGCCCATCTATCAATTCAATTTTTCATATTATTATTGTATCCTAGTTCATCCTATTTTTACTCACAAACAATTGAAAGAGAATAATTTTGCTTTCGGAATAAATATATTGTACTAAACTGAAATATAATATTTGTATTGCATAATATTTTTTTCCCTTGTCAAAAGTACCAAATATGGTTTAAAAAAATGCCTTCTTAATTAGTACCGATCATAAATGTCGTAAATAATTAAATGTCAAATGATAAAGTCATAAATTTAAACTATATAGGATCCTTCAATATCAAATTATTAATAACAATAAGTAAGTTAAATATAATTTAATATGGTTAAGTCCAAAATACTTTACGTATAAACTGTACTAAAATTGGTTTCCTCCGTTATAGTTATTCTGCAAAAACTTGTTAGAAAAATTCAACTAATTTTTACAGTTTAGTTCTACACACAAAAATTCAAACAAATTACATGTCATAATTTTCTAAAGAATGCACACACCAAAAATGTTTGGGTAGAGTTAAAACTTCAATTAATTTTTAAAACTTTTGCCACACATAGATTCAAACAACGGCAAAGGGCCAAATATACCCTTGTGCTTTCAAAAATGATCTAAGAATACCCCTAGTTATACTATTGGGTCATCTATACCCCTCCCGTCATACTTTGGAACAACTATACCCTTATTTTGGATGGAGTGCCACGTGGTAGCACAAGATGAAAACGACCAATTTCTTTTTTTTACCCGATCCGTTTTAAAAAACCCACCACCGACCCGTTTTAAAATTCAATTTTTTTAATTTTTTTTAAAGCATATATTTTGTAAAACCTGGATTTTTTTGTTGTAAAAACTAGAAAAAAGAAATTTACAAAATATATATTTTTAATTTTTTTCAATTTTTTAAAGTATTTTTTTGTAAAAACTTTTAGAAAAATATTTTTTTGTAAAAACTGAGAAATATATATTTTGTAAAACTGAAAGAAAAAAAGAAATTTGCAAAATATATATTTTTAAGTTTTTTAAAATATTTTTTTTGTAAAAACTGAAGAAAAAAAAAGAGATTTTGCAAATTATTTTCTTTTTTTAAACTAATGCATATGTAGTCCACTGCTTTAGGAGAGTTTTTTTTCCAGTTTTTACAAAAAAATATTATTTTATTTTCAGTTTTTACAAAAATAATACTTTAAAAAAACTTAAAAATATATATTTTGCAAATTCTTTTTTTTTTCTTCTAGTTTTTATAACAAAAAAAATTCAGTTTTTACAAAATATATGCTTTAAAAAAACTGAATTTTAAAACGGATTGGGTAAAAAAAAATGTGTCATTTTCATATGGTGCTGCCACGTGGCACTCCATCCAAAATAAGTATATATTTGTTCAAAAAGTATGACGGGAGGGGTATAAATGACCCAATAGTATAACGAGGGGTATTCTTAGACCATTTTCGAAAGTACAGGGGTATATTTGGCCCTTTGCCATTCAAACAAATTGCATGTTAGGCAGAGGCAGATCCGGGATTTTACCAGGATTGGTGCACTATTAAGAAGAGTTGGATCCAAAATAAAAATTCTACTGGTTAAACCTTTAGTTCTTAAGATTGCATATCCATTGCACTTTTGGAATTATAAGTTCAAATTTTTATTTTTTAAATTGTAATTTTCTTACATCTATATATATTTTCCATATTGAAAATATTGAGATCACTTGAACCCATTGACTATATGCTATATCATACACTGCTACTAGTTTTAATATACACATTTTGTTTAATCATATAAGATTTTACAGCGACAAAAGAAGAATAGGAATTTCAATGTGTGAAAATTTTGAAAGAATTAACCAAATAAAAAAAGAAATAAAAAGAAAAAGTACTTAAATAATACGCAAAAAATAACACAAGACACGCCCATCTCCCATGGGTGTGTACTTCTAGAAAAAAAAAGAAGAAAAAAATAATAAGATTAACATAGGATTTGAACTCATAACCTCACGTAAAGAGGTGCACTCAATAACCATCACATCATATAATACTTTGAGCATGAGTGCACACACATATATTTAAATATTATTTTAAAAAAATATAACATTACTATACATTATTTAGGGTGGAAAGCATGAGTTCACGTGCCCATGGAATTCTCCCTAGATACGCCCATGATGTTAGGAACTGCTAAAATTATACACACAAACGATTGGGTGAAGGTGGGAACACGTGGGAACATGAGGGGTACAAAGTTAGGCAAGGAAGCTACCGGGGGAGAAATGGGTAATTTGGTCAAGGCACATAAAATTTTACTTGGCAGCTACAGTAATGCCCTTTCTTAGCCAATAACGTTGCTAGTTTTTTGTAAAATTACAGAAATACCCTGAGAATCAAGCATGACCGTCAGCTACCTACCTAGAGCCCGCTTGGATTGACTTATTTTAAGTGATTTTAAGTTATTTTGTACTGTTTGGATAAAATAAAAAAATGCTTTTAAGCACTTATTTTTAAGCTAAAATGACAAAAATAAACAAAAATTCAAACGGGCTCTTATTCTCACTTATAGTATAGGAAATAGAAATAGAAATAGATATTGTTAGTTGTTACACATGAATTTCATTTTATCAGATTTTAGCATACTGCCTCAAATCTGGCAGTGCTTACTTGTAAAAGCTTTTGCAGCAACACAGTTTGCTTGCTGTTTTAGACATTGGTGTTTATTATGCGTCTGATCATAACTTTAGCTTCAACAGTGATCTATTGCCAGCTGGTGACTTATAACCATTAAAGGGTATTTCCTCAAGCGGGGTGGAGCTAGAACTCAAACACCGGACCTAGTAGCTTTTGATCAAATTATATATTTATCTTAAAAAATTAATTGAATATATCTAATTTATTAATTTAGAACCCAATAACTTAAACAGATTAAATTTTCGAACCTATAAACTTCAAATAATGACTTCGTCTATGTTCCTCAACATTGTAATATACTAGCATTCAAAACGAGGGCAAGAAAGGCAGGCAAGATCAAGAAGAAGTAATACGAGTACACAATAATAACTCCGCTGCAATCTCAAACAAATTAAAATAGACTAGCTAAATCACCACTAATTATATTTTCCTTTTTAAACTATCTCTCAACATTATACTCAAGAAAAGTTGTATATAAATTGTTTCGTGTAATTTGTCAAATAGGTTCATCCTTTTTCTTAGCCCAGTTTCTCGCATCCCTCCAAAAGAGATAGGAACAAATACTAGGTCCGAAACTAGCCTTTACTTTAGTAGAATAAATCCAAATAAATATCATGACAATATAAAGAGAGAACGCGAATAAATGACAGTGGCTAATAAGGACGATTTTACTGTATTCTTTTCTGATTCTCTGAGTTTCTGCATCTTCTTAATGACTATATTAATGACAAAGTTTAAACTCATTAATAAAATTTAAAGATAAGTTCATCTTATGCTTATCCAACGCAGCCAGCACCACGGCTACAGATTCCGGAGAGCGACGCCACAGAAAATCTACACAACCCCAAAGCTCCCGCCGACGACGATTCTTCCTCAGCTTCTACCGGCGGCAGAACTCTCCCGTCGGCGAATAACGTCCTTCCGTTTGTCGGCTGGGTGTCAATGATAACACCTTCAAGCTCCGCCGCCGCAGCGGCGGCCGCGCCGCTGTCAATCGCTCCGTCTCCCAACCTCCGCTCGACTTCGAGATACTCCCCGAGCGAAGCAGGTTTGGAGTCGCATTCGTCTCTGCATAGCCTCCACCACCTCCGCCGTCGGCAATTCCGGCGCTCCTCCTCTTCCGCCGCCGCGGCCACCGCTGCCACCCTACTCTTCTTCGACTTCCTGTTCTTCCGAGAACTCCCCGCGCCGACGGAGCTCTCAACGTTCGATTGGCGGTTCTGAGTCATTGATGGAGCTCTAAACGTGATCGCCTGGAATGTAACTCCCATAAGCGTCCCTAAAGTTATACTCCGATCATGAAAAAATGAACCTGTAGACTGGTCACACGGTAAAACCTAACCGTAAACTTCAAACACATTTCACATACACAATATGCAGTTAGGGAAGTGAATAAGCAATAAGTAGTTACCTCAGTGTCGAGATCAGAAGAAGAAACTGATGAAATTGTGGGAGAAGAAGGTGGTGGTACCAAATCACTCGCCGGATCCAACATTTGTTCCTAATTAGGGATTCAATTCTCTGGGGAATGTAGGAAGCTATAACAAATAGTTTGAGGATAAGCAGAAAGGGGTAAGGGTACAGTACATCACCCTGAAAGTATTGTTGGGTTTACAGTGTAATTCTTGTGCATCAGTACTGGTCCTGCAAAATTTGGTGTGTGTGTGTGTGGTGGGGGTGGGGGTGGGGTTAAAATTGGGGGCACACTATGCAATCATACCTTTCTTGATGGAAGAGTGGATCAAAAAAGTCCATGTTCCTCTGTGTGAAAATGATTTCCTTTTCTTTACTTTTCTCTGTTTATTTAATCCCACAACTTTTCTGGTTTTCACTGTTTAATCCCACAACTTTTTTGGTTTTCACTGTTTAACCCTCCTATATAATGTGATTCTCGTCTGTTTTTTGCCCCTCTTGTTGGTTGATGCATCACATCTCATTTGATTTTTTTAAAATAATAAAAACATGTCTTGTGGAGCTACAATTTACAACTCATGATTTTGACATTAGTTTTCATATGAACGACGCACTGAAAGTTTCGAAATCATTAAACGGGACTAAGCTTTAACCTCAAATTAGTCAGTTTTGCTATTTGTTCATTTTACTCGTTAGTACGCGCTTTGCGCGTGTACCTAACTCAATGAAAATTTATTTAAAATTTATCTTTGAGTTATAAAATAAAAATATAAGTTCTTAAAAATAATGAATGTTGGTCGTATATAACTAATAAAAAAATAAAACTGCTCCACGGAAATACTCAATATTCAACCTAAAATGCATTTCAAAGAACAACTGAAGTTAGAAACTTAGAATAGGAAGTGTTTATTTAATTTGAAAGTATCATTATTTAAGTGAGATTAATATTTAAATAATATTAATTAGCTAGCTCATACCAAATTTTAGGTATTTAATTGCAATTATATTTTTATTCGATAAGAATTCTTTCTCAAATAGTAAAAAAATTAGGTGAAAAATCATTCATGCATGACATGTTCCAAAGAAGTAAATTAAATTCTTTGTAAATCTAAAAAATTTAAGAATCACTTTATATCATAAATAAAGTCTGCAATTGAAATGCCCTTTTAGAAGCCATAATTATAATCAAGAAACTCGCTTATATTCAGCTAAATTTAATACAATCTAGAGAAGTTAAAAGATCTCATAAATTATTTTGTTGGAATAATTGATAATTTTGGAGTTTGTTATTGATTTCGGCTCAATATTCTAAATAATTGTAATTGCTAATTTAAAAGCTTTGAAAACTAAAATTATAATATAGAATACTATTATTAGTGGAATAGACTTCTATATATTTTAAAATATTCTAATATAGAAGAGTTTCATATAAATCAGAACGTATAAAGGTTAAAAAATTGGACCACTCCATGTTATCCTAAGCCAAACTCACTTCCTCTTTCTTTAATGTTCTTATTCTCTCCTTTATTTATTTTATTTATTATTTATAAATAATTTAAGTATAAAATTTATATAAAGTAAAATATTAATGATTTTAAAGTTCTAAATATCAGAATAGTTAATACAGTTCAAATAAGGAAAAAATTTATTATACAAACTCCTAAATGTTAGGGAATTAATTAAATGACTATTTTTTTAATAGTAGAAAAATAAGCAAATGACTATTTTATCCAGTGTGATCTCTATTTTAAAGGGTAAAAAAAGCGAACGATATTTTGCTAAGGGCCTTTGTGCTTTCAATATAGTATATATATATAGAGATATAAATTAAAGGTATTTTCATTGTAATACTAAATAAACGTGCTATAAGGCAAAGTGAAGGTTTTACTTTAAAAAATTGAATATTCTATGAATATCACGCTTATCGTTATACAATCAAGAATTTCTTTAGCAAAAATGACTGACTTATTACAAACGCCAAGCAAAATGTAAGTATACTAACAACAGTTAAACGTTAATTCAAAGTAATTGGTATTGTTATATGGGTCATTTGTTGCCATATGTTCTATTGTTTTTGTTAAATATGTGTTTATTATGTGATATTGCAAACTTTTCAACGACTCTTTTCTATATGATTTTAGATTTATCTTGTCAATTTATAGCTTCTTCAAATCGTCCTCATATATGATGAACTATAATATATGTGAAGATCTAATTTAAAACTTGAATGTCCATATCATTTATCTCGCGGACATTCACTCACACGGCTTTGGAGGACCTCTATATAAAGAGTAACTGAAGTTTAGTCGCTTCAAAATCAACTTTAAATTCGAAAGTTTGAATTTCAAAACTTAAAACACGAGTCTAAAATTGTGCTTACCAAAGCTTAACTTAAGATTTGATAAGCTATTTGTCTTTTGTTTTGATAATTTGTCAAACTTCATGAGAGAACATATAGGGAACCTGATACAATTGGTTCTTCAGAGTTAAGAGCAACTAGTCAAATGTCTGGTTCAATTCTCAATGAAATCAGATAAGAGAACAGATAAGGATTAGTTCTTCCGGTCACAGTACAAGTTAGGGCTGGCAAGTGGGCCAGTCTCGGGCCTAAACGGGCCAAGTGGGCCGGTCCAAACGGTCCTGGGCCGGTCCCAAATTAAGCGGTCTAAACAGGCTTTTGTATGGACCGGGACCATTTGGTCCCGGCCTAAACGGTCCCGGCCCGCGGGCTAAACGGGCTAAGTGGGCCCAACATATATATTTTTTTTAAAAAAAAATTAAATAGATATTAGAGACAAAAGGATGTTAAAAAAATATCTAACNATTCGATAAGCTATATATACAGCTTATATACTATATATAAGATGTATATATAGTATAGTATAGTTTATATATTAGTCTAAAGACAAAAGGTTGTTAAAAATAATATCTAAGTCTAAAGACAAAAATATTGTAAAGAGATATGCCTTGTAATTTTATTATAGCATTAAAAAATATGGCAATATCTTTTTTAGTCTTCATCCCCCTATGGAATGAGCACAACAAGCTGCTAATACCACCATTGAGAAGAAAAAGAAACTAATCAAGATGTGCCAAAATATAAGTTACATAATACATGCTAATTTTTGTTCATACAAGTAACATGGTATCTCTTACAAACTTCATAAATCTATCAAGGTCCGGAGGAATTTCCGTTGGTGGTGGGCAGAAAAGTTGCTTGGTCATCGCCACTTCCGGGCGATGCAACATCCTCCGCATATTCAGCTAGCATTTCTTCGTAAGCTTCGTATTCATCTGGTTGTGATTCAGCAAGTCCAAAATTTCTTCTTTCCGACCGGATCCAATCTCTGAAAAGTACTGATTTTTCCAAACTCTCCCTCATAGACGCTCTATAATCACCGAGTTGAAGTCTTGCTTGACTGAAAGCGCTCTCTGATGCCACTGTTGAAGCTTGAATAGTTAAAATGTCTCGGGCCATCCTTGAAAGAACCGGAAAGTATTTTTCTTTGTCATTCCACCATTCCAAAAGATTAAAGGAACCGTGTGACTGTGCTAGCAATAAACTGCCCTGTGTGACATGAATTAATTATTCTATAAGAAATAATGCGCTTTTGCATTATCCAATCCTCATCAATCCAATGACTGGCAACAATAAGGTAATCACAGTCGTTACCACTTCTACCAATATCAGTTGTAATAGCAACACGATAATTTATATGAGTAAATAAATAGCGCAAATATTGTTCATATTCATGTTTATATTTATAAATATCGCTCTTTACGGTTGTGCGATGAAAACCTTTATAAGTAGGATTAAAATAATTTCTAATATAATGCACAAAGTTAGGATCAGAAGAAAAACTATAGGGTAAATACATAACAGTTACCATTTTTGCCAATTCTTTCCGATCTTTTTTTGGATCATAATATAAAATACCACTAGTAACAGTATTAATTCCCGGTTAAAATTGATTTGAACCGGTACTAAGGTCAACCTGACTAGGAGTAGGTAGACTTTTCCCCTCGGCCAAAGCTTTCAGACGAAGATATCTCACTTTATCTTGAGGGTGTTTCATTATGTGTCTA